AGACTCACCTCGCACTGCTGAAATCCCGCAAATAATCCTCTGGCTGCTAACTGACAGTTCCCCATACTGCTCATCCTTCGGCTCCCCGAGCTATCAGTACCAAAATGATACTTAGTCCAAAAACCAATAATCCTCCTTAGTGTAAAATGACCATTTTATCCCTGATCTAATTTGGTCCATGCCTAAAGCCCAAAACTATATCATGAGAGGCCCAATACTAGGTAGATTTCCTAAGCCCACTAGTGGCCCAATAATGGTCTAATTTGCTAAATTGGGCCCCAACCCTCTAATGGGCCTTACCCAAAAGCTCAAACTAAATATTAGCCCAAAATATCTGACTTCTGATGGCCCACTAAGGCCCAAAGTAGCCAAAACCACAAAATGGCCCAAACCGAGACCCACTAACTCAAGACCCACTCTGACCGAGTACGCGAGGCGTACTCAGATGTACACAGGGCGTACTAGGCTTGTGACATGTACGCTGCACGTACCAGCTTGTATGCCCAGCGTACTCCCCTGTTAAGCTCCTTTTTCTATTAAGCACTTAATGCTTCCAGTCAATGGTCCAAATCACATATCTGAGTTCCTCTCAACTTCTAAATCCACAAAGTCACAAACTTGGTGACTTTGCATGCCTCACCTAAGCTCAAACTCCAAAAATGGTAATCTACTTCCGTGAAAATGGTCTTAACTCTTGCATGAACACATTAGGACCTCAAGATGACAACTTTCTGCCTTAGGGACTCATTTGGCACTGAGAGTGGCAACTCTAGGCCTAGGAATCGAACTTGAACCATAAAGTTCCATTCTTGGGACCAAAAAGGTCCAAAAAACTCAACATAATAGATCTAAGCATTCAAGAGGCGAGTTTAAGACTTTATACCTCAAGATGATCTAAAATGAAGCAAGAATCTCGGATCTACAGCTTCTCCTTTGAACCACCACCTTGCTTTGCTCTTCACTTGCTTGGAAAATGGATTCACAACACCAAAATGCTCTCAATGGCCTTCTAAGCTCCAAGAACACTCAAGGAAGGATTAGGGTTTTGTGGTGGCTGTCTAGGGATGAAATGGAGGATGACCATTGAGGCATATTATTCCTTTTATAGTGGCATAGCCCTAAAATTAGGGTTTAGAAACTCTGAGCATACACTGGGCGTATGCCTCCAACACTCGCGTCCACTTTACACCCCTACGATGGGCGTACTCCAACTTACGTTAGGCGTACTTCCGTGTCTACCACCTTGCATTCATGGTACCTTCTTGCCACTTTTCTCCAATAAGGACCAATATTGCCAATAACTTCAAAGTGCTATAACGTCTTCGTCCCAAGTCCGTTTCCGACGAACTTTATATCCACGAAAAGGTGGTGAGAAGCCCTACACTCCTAGCTACACCTACAAGCCTAAAAACCTTCCGAATAGAACCCGAGACCCATAAAAGACCGAATCGTCAGATTACGCTTATGCCCTCGAGCTCCGAAGCCACAACCGAACACTTTCAAAACCGGGTGTTACATGACAGGTTTCAAGGAACTTGTTAATTGTTAAATAAGTGCTGGCATGTGGCAAGTTGAGTAGCAACAAAGGCCAAATACTAAAATTATAGCTAGTACTAAGTAGCGAGGTAAGTAACTATACTCTAACACCTGTTGTTCTTTATGTATGTTGTGCAAAATATGTGCATTATATATATTATGATATTAATATATGTATAATTGAGGATGATATGTTGTAATCTGGTGAAATAAGTAGCTGGTGATAAATGATTTATTTACCATTAGTGTATCCCACATCAGTGTGACATGGTCTTATAAGTGACTATATATGTTGGAGTCCTCATTCTCTCCACAAGGGCTCTTTTGGAAAGACAATATTGGGCTCCACATATGTTTACATGGTATCTGAGTTGACATCTTGTACCCCTGTGGCGCAGCACATCCATGTCTATCCTCATTGAGACTCCGACTCTGAGGGGGATTATTAGTGTACCCACACCAGTGTGACATGGTCTTATAAATAACTATACATGTTGGAGTCCTCATTCCCTCCACAATGGCTCTTTTGGAGAAACAATTTTGGGCTCTGCATCTATTTACATTTACTTTGGATAGAGTAAATCCAAAGGGTTTTATGATTTTAGTGATGATTCAATGGTTAGCCTTAACAGTGTTACGAGGCAAAAATCATTAATGTGAAAATAATACTAGTAGGTCTTATAAGGAGTCATGAGGCAATAACCAGTTAGTTTGATTTAACTAGTATATTTTATATGTTGTATGTTGTTGGTGATAAGTTGATTATTATATGATGATATATGTTATTATGTTATTGTAGTTGTTATTCACTTTTTGTTGTTGTTGTTGTGCTGCCGATTAGTTCTAGTAGTGCCCGAATCGAATCTAGTACTTAATGCAAATACGATTCCTGGTGATAACATATTGTATCTACAATGTGCTAGTGTACACCAAATTTTTTTATAAGGTTGTAAATAAATGAATTTTTGGGGTGTATGTAGTATAAAAATCTAGGTGTTACATTAGAAGAGGAGATTGCAAACCCAATATGTTCTGACGAATTGATTTTCTAAACGTATGCACATACAAAATTCTCATCTTGATGTTTACATGCCATCAAGGATTTAATGGTATCGAACCTTTCTTATTGAGCATGCTCTTAGAACATTTTTTGAGATGCTCATTAATTTCAAACACCCCAAGGCTCTGAAAACTCTTTTGGAGTACGAAAGACATGGTCACCAACATTATACAAGCAACTTTTATGGATTCATCGTCATGTTTGTTACAAGCAGCCATTTCTTTTACAGTAGACTCGTCATTCACATAAGGGAGATCTTGATCGAGCACATACTCTTTGCCTTCGTATCTAGGGAAATCCTTAATGTACGAATCCAGTTCAAATAGTTCTGACCGGTCAGTTTCTCATTAGATAGGATCGAGATGAAAGATAAGTTTGAGTTTGATGGAGGAGGAGGAGGAGGAGGAGGATTGTTGTCATTTGACATCTTCAAGATGAAAGAGTTTAGTAAGTTTAAATTCATCCTTAAAATAATTTTTAACCCTTCAAGAATTATTAACAATGCTAGGATTCATATTTGGCTTTGCGGTGTGTAAAGAAATGTCGTAAACACAAAACAAAATTATTTAGGTAGGCAACTCAATTTTCCAATTTCAAACTTTTGAAACTCCTAGATCGTTTGAGATTCATTGGCATTCAATGGAATGTTAATCTCGATTGTGCTCATCTCGATTCAATGACAGGGATGTCGCGGATCATTGAATAGACGGTGAATCAACCATACAAAATCGTGTGAAACTCGATATGACATTATTCTTACGTTGACATGCCAGTTAATCACACATGCTCCATCAACAGAATAATCTCATCAGCAACACATCAAATTAACTTATATTTTCGCAATGACGTAGCGGTTAACCACACACACTCTATCATCAAAATATAAAAAATATGTGCGTTTTCATGGGTAACACATGATTCACGCTTTGCTATATAGAACGAGAATTTTGTTTTATTACTTGATTAATACTTTTAATCTTGAAACATAATCTGATCAAACCCTTTCAGTAACTTCAGTCTCAAAATATAAAAAGGCAGTGAGGGTGGTAATTGCAAAACATTTTAAAAATCAATCTCATTAGGAATCATGGAGACCTCCTTAAACATTTCTTAGAGTATTAGAGTGGGTGCGCCTAGTCTTGATTCGACGATTGTGTTTTTATTAAACATGTGATGACGCATGTGGTATAATTGTTATATATATATATATATATATATATATATATATATATATATATATATATATATATATATATATATATATAAAATACCATATACTAAATTTAAACCTTTTAAATTTATATTCTTTTCTTTTTAATTTAATTCTCTTATTCAATAAAGTTCAAGTATATTAAAATTTTAATTCAAGTTTAAATAATATTCAAATTTTAATCAATTAAATATTCAAATTTGAATTCTTATTAAATAATATTTCAAATTAATCTAAAATTCGAATATTCATATTTAAACAACTAAAATAATATTTTAAACAAAAGTCTTGTCCCTAAATTTCCGAAATTTGAACAAAATCCGAAATCTAAAAGTCGGCTAGGCGCGTCGGGTCCAGCGAGGGACATGTCTCGTTTGCGAATTAAGTAAAACCTATTAGGCTATCATATCATTGTTGGGTTTTATTAGCATCAATACACTACTTAAGGCAGCGAAAACAATCAAAAGATATACTTAAATGTACATGCACCATAGATCTAGGGTTTACTAGAATCGACTAGAAAGAAACATACTAACATCTTGATTGCTCGATTGGGATCTCGTACGTATCAGTGATTGCAATGGATGAAAGATCCTAATTAAAACCTCTCTGACCCCCAAACACCAAAAGCAAAATGAATAAACCCTAGGAGAAAGGTTAGAAGTTTCATATATGGAGAGAGACAGAGATAAAGGTTGGACGGTTTTAAGAGAGAAATCAACCACTCATGAGGTTACCCTTATCAGTCTATTTATAAGCTGCAGATAGAATCCTAAAATGATTTAAACTCTAAAGGTTAATCCTTATCTGATTCAAACCTGCATTATCCATGTTAGAGAGCTAGTCAAAACCGTCCACCTCTCTGCTCTGATAGCTTTTAGAATATTCCAATTACTCTTTAGGAATTAATTAATATTCAAGTTCTTTAATCAATTAAATAGTTTAATTAATTCCAATTAATGTATTAATTCCTTAATAAATTAATAAGTTATTTTTCTTCATTTCTTTATTGCTATTTGAGTCTTGAGGCCAACCTAAAAGAACCCTGCAATTATTAAAAATATTATTAAAATAGTTAATAACCTTAAACACTATTTCCAACATTCCTTTCACTTGAGTTTGGATTATAATAAAAAGTCTTTCTAATTTCAATTTATTAAGAAAATATGATTTATTTTATATATAAAAAAAATTGGAATGTTACCATCTTGAGCCCATGAGACCAGCCTATAAAGTTTAGGTCAACAACTACTATAAATGAATCTCTTAATACTAATTGTAACTCTAAGACAAGAGCACCACATTGTAAATGCACTAAATACATAAAAATTGTATAGTAGTATTGAATATCAAACAAAATATCTCTGTAGTTTATCCCGTGGATGTAGCTTAATTACTCTAATCAGGTCAACCACGTTAAATCCTTGAGCTCTTTGTTATTCGTCAACCTCTTTATCATTGTTCTTGTGTTTGTCGAAGTACTTCATTACATAACAGGATGATGAGAAAAATGAAGCAATTGAGTAGCACATCAAATACTGCAAATTGTGATAGGAAAGATCAATTCGAAAAGGAGAAATGAACACTGGGCAGGTTACACAGATCATGCATTTATCCTAAATTTAACCAACAGAAAAATATCACAAGAAATTCTATATTAAAATATACCTGTTAGCTTGTTAGTCACATTTTATAGCTGCATACAGGTAACGAACAAAGAGCAACGAGGCATTGAAACCCACACTTCCAAGTATCAAAAATATGCCGAAACAGACACAAGCCATATAGCCAAAGAAAAAGGAGATTTGCATGAAACCATTCATGTCTGATCTCTCGAAATAATAATAGATGCAATAAACATATATATACAATCCAGTAGATCCACCACACAAAAACGACCTGTGTCAAATAAAGAACTCTTATTAGTTATAACTTATTAGCCCATGCATATATCAATTCAAGTCCATAATCAGTAATCACACCAACTACTTAACATATATACCTCCACCACCATTGATGATCTTCAACAGCAAGCTGGAAGTATGTCAGTGCCACAGAACTAAAGCAGTCATGATCAGAAGAAGAAAGAAGACTATGGACACAATACTATAAAGTGTATAAATGCGATGTCCCCAAACACTTGCAAATATGTAATACAACTGAATATAGATAACACTGAAAGGCAAAATTCCTGCCAAAGCCATCTGAGGAAGAACACCCCTGAACCAATGTAGCTTAGGAACCTCTCTAGGAATTTTAGCGGTTTTGCAGGGAGCTTGGAATTCAGACATTCTGGTTTTCCCAATAATGCCTCCTAAAAAAAGCAATGGTGATGCTATGAATATCCACAAGAGAGATAACATGACTATTGCTCTCAATGGTAATGCAGTAGTTGATCCATAAAATGTTGCAACAATGTCTAGGAAAGTAAAAGTAACAAAGAGTGGCCCAAAATATAATACTCCTGCGAGTATTAGGTTCTTCATCTGTCAAGGAGAAAAAAAAAAAAGAGAGAGAGCCAATCAGTATTAACCTTTTTATGTGAATAAAAATTCCTCAAAATCATGTGTCAAACTAAGTTTTGATATTTTCACATACCCAGTTTGTTCCTTCGAGTTGACAATAGAAGGAAAGAGAAGTATATCCTGAGACCAAAGATGTAACAGCATATACAATGATAAGTGTTTTCCAGAGTACTCCTCGCATATAGGGCTGAAAAACACCTAGGAGGCCTAGAGCAAGAATTGCTACGATACTGCAATTGTGACAAAAGAAAGGTTACAAAAGTAGTAATTAAATTTTTTCGAAAACAAAATCATATATTTCGCAACATATGAAAGTATTTTTCAATATATGAATTTGCATTTCGCAATAAAAGATTGTATTGGACAAATATATTACTATTTATATTCTCAAAAACAATGTTTAAAGGTTTTTTTTTATGTGGTGGGACTACTCAAAAGGCAATTTCACAATTTGCAATTGGACCCATTGCGAAATTCATATATTTTAAATGGGATGTACCATTTTAGTAATTTTTGTGTTTATATTTAAAATAATAAGAGCACAAGTAGGCAAGCTTCATATTTGTGAAGCTTAATGAAGTTTCACATTCTTTGAAGATACTCACACTATAAGCAACTGGCTTCCAGCACCAAGAGCCGCAGCAAATAAAGACTTGTGTTGTGGGAATCTAAATACATCACCATGAACATTCTTCCACCCTATCTCTTCTTGATTATTATAACTCAATATATCCTCTTCCACATCAGCTAAGTTCCTTTCATTTTTCATGCATTGGGAAAACAAGAAAGGCAACAAAAGAGTTATTCTATTTGACAAACATAACAAACACAATAAGCTGAATATGCAAACTTATTTTTTGTGAGTAGAATCAATACTTGGAAATGTCTTTACGAAGGACTAGTAAGTAAAATGTGAGTAGGGAAATGATCAGAATGAGGAGTATGAGACTTGAGTATGTAATTGAGTGATGATGTATTGACATGTGGTGAGGTAAAATGGAAGAACCAATGTATTTCTCCATTCTCCTATCAAATGATTGTTGTGTCATTTTCCACTGAACTGAGTATGTGAACCCCACATCAACTTCCTTGTCTTCAGTAATGTCTGTAAATGAATCTCTAGGCATTCGGAGATTGACCTCAATAACATGATCCTTATTATAAAAAACTTGGAAATCAAAATGTCTGTAAATGGAATACTCTGTTTTGATCCTTCCACTAAAATTTTCCTCATTTCTTAACATTCCAATAAAAGCCCACATTGGTAAGTCATCATAGTATAATTGCATATAGTAGTCCTTCTCTATAGCCCTTTTGAACTTAGAAACATCTGTTTTACTCAGTGTCTTATTGCATAATACTTCTAAATCTTTATCCACAAGGAATTCAAGCTTATATGGAGTTGAAACAAGACGATCTCCATTCAACATCTCTCCTAAATTAAGCTTCTTCTCTTTGACAACATCTGTTATTAGAGAAGTTAAAATGACTGAAAGAGAACAAAAGAAAGACCCAACACATTCATGAAAGAAGTACCTTGAGAACAAAATGGAAGTTCATAATAAGCATATGTTTCTCTGAAAACAAAGTAAACAAGAATAAGAAGACACGCACACACACACACACAAAACTTTGGAGGAAATGTGTCTAACCTAGAATTATGGAATGGGCCAATTATGTTGGCATAGAAGGGGACTGTATCACCTTCACTGTAGCTATGATCAGAGGCATCTGATTCTACTTGGATTCCAAGGTAGATCAGTAGAAGTATAAGAAAAGGGTATTTTCGAAATTGTACCATTCCTGTTGATCTATAAATGAAAGTGAGAAAACATGAGCAAATGTGATACCAAAAATAAGAGATATCATTACAGAGCATCTTGCAAGAATCTTGTGGATTTTGGAAAAGTGGAAGATTGGATAAACAAATTTTTCATTCTGCTATGTCTTACACATTTAGGCGTTTGTCTATTAATCTATACTTTCAGAAGAAAATTCATTAAGGCATTGCTAATTCTTTTCAAAGGCAAGGTAATTCAAGGGCATATAAAAGAAAAAGCTCATAGTGGAAACCCTGTTTTTGTCAATTCAATGGAGTATTCAATAAATGAAGGTAATTATTGCGACAAGAATAATCAAAAACCAAGCTCCAAAGTGAATCGTAGTATCAAGATATGAACAATCGAACATAAGTAATTAATAATTATCCAAAAAACCAGTTCAATTGAAATTACCAAGAACGTGGGATGATCAGTGATAGAGAAACAGAGGACCTTTTACAGTGAAGGAGCACGATGCAACGATGGAAAAGGTCTGAACTGGTTGGAACCCGAAGTAGTGTTGGGGATGGAGAGACGACTTTGACTTTGACTCTTCAACTTTGTTCAGCTGATAGTTAAATAATGCACTAGTCTCATATGCTGGTTCTCTACTTGTTCAAATTATTTTGAGGAAGTTAATAATGTTTAGAGTAAATTACATGAATGGTCCCTCTGGTTTGGGGTAATTTGCGTGTTTGATCCCTGGTTATTTTCTATTAAATCAAAAGGTCCCTACTATATGTTTTTATTGCACGCTTGGTCCTGTTTTTAGAGTAAATTACACGAATGGTCCCTGTGGTTTGGGGTAATTTGCGTGTTTGATCCCTGGTTGTTTTCTATTAAATCAAAAGGTCTCTACTATATGTTTTTATTGCACGCTTGGTCCCTGTTTTTATTAAAAAAATTATTGTGCCCTTATTAGTTTGTTTTATATATTTTTCTAATTTATTTTTGTTATTATAACTATATAATAGAAATAGGGCCAACCACCATACCCCTCAAGTCTTTAACCCCAGATACTTTTCATATGCACACAGTTAAAATTGTGCTACCATCGATCCCATCCCGTCATCCCCATCTTCATCATCATCGTCTCCGGCGACCATCATGGCCACCATCATCTCCGACGACCATCATGGCCACCATCATCTCCGACAACTTCCGATAATGGTGCTTGCTTCTACAATTTTCACAGGATGAAGTTAAATGAATATCAAACTAAATAAAAACCCAAACAAACCCAAATGGAAATTAAACTTGTTACCTTGTAATCTAAACCGAACAAAATCAAAATCAAAATGTTGAAAATTAAAAGATGTTGACAATTTGTTTAATTTATTAATATATATCATAAATTTAATTAAAAAAGAAATATACATAAATCATAAAATTAATTATAAAAGAATTTAATAACGGCATAAGAGTATTTTTACTTCAACCAGGGACCAAGTGTGCAATAAAAACGTATAATAGGAACTTCCGAGTTAAAAAAACAATTAGGGACCAAACGCACAAATTACCCCAAACCACAGGGACTATTCGTGTAATTTACTCTAATGTTTAATTTATTTTTTTATGATATTTTTTAAATGATAATCAACTTTTGTATATGTACTATTTTGATATTTCAAATTTATTCGAACTGTTATACCGATAATATTCAGTTTATATATATATAAAAAAAGGATAATGACTTCAAAATGTAACATATTATTGGATTTGTACACATTTCGTTTCATGTTTTTTTTGTTCATATTTACCCATTAAACTTGTTTTCGTGTTCAAACTTAATCCTTATTACCGGTTGTCTCAGTATTTGCTGACATGGCTGCATATTGTAACATCCCAAATATCATAGTAAAAAAATTCATTTTTAATACTCTTAATTAATCCATAAATCATACCAAAACATTGTTTTCAAGAACGTAGTCAAAATCAGAGTATTCCAAAATAATCAATTAACAGAATATCGAAGGAAGATGTGCATAATCACGCCTTTGCCTTGCCCCGATCCTCTGATGTACTTGAAACCATGAAATCAAACTGTAAGTCAAAGCTTAGTGAGTTCCCCCAAAACACCACACACACAAAACGTATAAATACATGCATACTAGGTCCACAATCATCGGACTAGATTACCCCTGAGCCCATAACACAAGTCTGGATTGCCCTCCCGACCCATAACTCATGTCTGGATTACTCTCGAGCCTACAACATAAGTATGGATTGCGCTCCTGGCCCTCAACTTATGTTTGGATTGCTCCCGAGTTTGTTGGCTTCCGCACAAAGCAATATTGCCTCAACTTAACCGCACTATGTTGACATATGCAACAGATAAACATGTAACCAACAATATAGGTAATCATACAGATCTAGCAATCTAATAGATCATTACCACATATGTAACATCCGGATTCTCAGGTATCTTATTTTAAGTATTTATATTGAATTTTATAGAGGGACTCGGCGAGTAGGCGCTCAGACTCGCCGAGTGGGATCGCGCATTTCTGGTCTGATTTAATGAAGGACTCGACGAGTCGATGCGTGGACTCGGCGAGTCCGCGCTGTTAAGTGAAACCCTAATTCTCGAGGCCTGTGCCCTATTTAAAGGCCTTTATAGCCTCCATTGCGACTACTTCACCCTTGAGAAACCCTAGAGAGAGAGAGAACGTTTGTGGTGCAAAAGGAAGGCTAAATCACCATTTCTTGTGTGTTTTGGCAAAGGAGAAGTAGTTTCCAACAAGAGGAGGTCAAGGGAGCTGTGGATCCAAGGTTTTCAAGTTCAGATCTACACTATTGAGGTATCAAATCGAACTTCCCTTCTGTTTTGGGTTAAAATCTATGATTTAGGGTTTTCTATAAACCTTTTAAGGCTTGAAAGGTTGAGTTTATGGTCCCTTGCTGGGTTACACCTCAGATCTGGACCCATAGAGGTCCAGAGAACCTTTCCCATTCTGCTTTATGCTTGTTCATGGAGGATTGGAGACTAGGTTGCCATTTTTAGAGTTATTTCTCCATTTATGACTTGTTGTGGGTTGCATGCACGTAAAGGTTGCACCTTTACGTGACATTTGAAAATTTGAGGGGTAGATCTGATAGTTAGGGAAGCAGATCTGACCTTAGAAGGCCATTTGAGTAAGAACATGGAAGCAACTCGCCGAGTCCATAAGTGGACTCGACGAGTCGAGTCGGGGTTGCCCCACGATTCGTGACAGGTGTAACCCGTCGAGTGGAAGGATGACTCGACGAGCCAAGAGAGGCTGAAAGGATTCAGAGGACCCGCATGGACTCGCCGAGTCGCCCTTGTGCACTCGACGAGTCGGGTCAAAGTTTGACCGTTGACTTTCGTTGACTTTAGGGTTCTGGTCAAGACCGATTCAGGAGAGTTCAGGGAAGGGTAGAATGGCCTTCTACCCAATCTGTAGAGATGAGATCATGAGAGAATATTGATTGGGGATGTTATTTGAATAATAGGAGGAGGCTAAGTCGGGACGTTGAGCACGAGAGTTTATCCGACTTCATTGAGGTGAGTCTTCTCACTATACTATACCTGGAAGGGTACCTATGTGTGACCAGAAGGTCTTGTATGCTATGATGTATGTGCTATATGCGGTTATGTGATATGTATATGTTATGTATGTTATGTATGATAAGGACCGGAAGGTCAAGATGATATATATATATGTATGTGCTATGTATGTTACGTATGGTAAGGACCGGAAGGTCAGGATGATATGGACCGGAAGGTCAAGAGGTTACGGACCGGAAGGTCGATACGGGTAGGACCGGAAGGTCTACCGGGACTCGGGACGAAAGTCCCCTGTGACACATGGATCGGAAGATCCTATAGAGTTATGGCCTGGAAAGGCGTATGTGTGGTATGTGGTATTTTGGGGATCTCACTAAGCATTTATGCTTACAGTTGTTATGATATGTGTCTCAGGTACTAGCGAGGATCGCGAGAAGGCGCCGGCATGATCAGTACACACTTATGGAGTTTATGTTATTGAGATTCAGGGACATGTTTTGTTATGACACAGTGAATACACTATGTTTTATGGTTATCGTGTGATTGAAAGTATGTTTTAAAAATGAAAAATTGTTTTGAAAATTTACGTTGTTACAAAATAGCAACATCCTATAAACTAGGGTACATGATACCACTTGGTGGGTCGGCATTGGTGCCTTCGACCCACGAATACATTGAGGAAACTCACCTCAGTTGGTAATGGATAGATCTCACATAGAAGCCGCTGGTGCCAAAGTCTCTCCCACTAAACATATCCAAACTAAATCCTAATTAACAATTAAGGTAATACCCTACTTAACGGGTCTAAAAGCCAATGTTAATCCCCATTTGGGCAAAACACCATTTTTCCCTTCCAATTCCTCAACCCCTCACAGTTGACCAAAGGTCAAACTGGTAAAAAAGTCAACGGTCAACATCCAGTTGACTTACGCCATGCGTAACCAATCTACGCCCTATATATTGGTACGTCATGCTTACTTAGATTACGCCCTGCATACCACACTTATAAGCCATTTCCATCTTTAGCTCTTAATCAATAAACACCAACCATCTATTGCTCATATCTAGTCTTAATAAACGTGTAGAGTGATAAAGTTCTTAACTTTATGCCTTTGCATGGCTAAATAAACCTCAAATCCAAACTCTAGCTTCCTAACACCTTGTAATGTCCAAAATTTTTTGCATGAATGAATAAAGATAGCCAAGATTCCATTTTATGACTCCTCAATCTCAGAAACCACAATGAATAACAACCACAAGGTATGGAGTAGCTTATACTCACAAGACTCAAGATTATAGGACCAAAGGACATGAAAATCAAGAATCTAAAGGGATCTAACATATGGACCAGCAAGATTCAAGCTTTATACCTCCTGGAGGATGTTGAAGAAGAGTAGAGTCTGGATCTAGAAGCCTTGGACTCCCCAAGCACACCTTTAATGACCTATTTCTTCACAAAACACACAAGGAAACACTCAAATGCTTCAAAATCCTGACAAGATGGCTAGGGTTTCGAGTTGGATGCTCAATAAGGTGGAGGATGATGATAAGAAGGACCTCAAGGGGTTAGAGTCCTTAAATAGGGCTCAAAACCTCGAAATTAGGTTTTTACTCTGCACAATTATGCCCTATGTAGCATAAGCTACGCCCTGTTTAACTCACTTAAAACGCGCCCCCCTCCCCCTTTAGCTCCTACGCCATGCGTAGGGAAAAACTCCTATTTTTCCAGCTCAACTTTAAACAACCATAACTTCTTTTTTTCAACCCCATTTTTGACGTTCCTTATATGCACGAAAAGGTATTGAAGAGCCCCACCATCATATCTATTTAGTTTTATCTTATCACATACCGAACTAAAACCTTAATCCATGCAAGAAACCTAATCTATAACTTTTCCCTTTCCTCCCTTTGGGCCCAACATACGAATCAAGGGATTAGATCTCACAACCAATATTATCAACCTTTAATAAGGCCCAACTTTACTTTCTCAAAGCCCAAAGCCTTTACATGATCAAATTACGACCATAATCCTTGAGTTAAGGAACATCTGAAACATGGTGTTACTGTTGGATTAAGGCGTGTAAGCCAATAACTAAATTGGTATATTCTTGAATTAGAAGCAAAGTCTTTTTTGGGTTGCCCTCAAAAGTAGTAACTAATTAGAATGACAATTGGAGATAGAGGATAATTTGTTAATTTATTATATGAATAAAAAACTAACTGGAAATTGAAATATATAATTTATTAATATATTATATTATATTATTAATATATTAATTGGAAATAGTTATGATTAATTGATTAATTAGAATTGTTCTAAGATTAATTATAATTAATCATTCAAAGGACTCTTTGGTTTCCATGGGAGTTTCTTTAAGCAAGTATAAATAGGACACCATGGATGCCATATTTTCCATACACATTTACTTGCTTTCATAGAGCCGAATTTATGCTCTAGTCTCCTGTCTCCTCAAGTCTTCTTGCTACTAGAGCTTTTGGTACATTAGAGGCATCCATTCCTTTGGTGCTAGCTTTCCAAGATCTAGAAGAAGGATTCTACTTTGATTATTTACAATAATAATCAAAAGGTAT